TTTTATGGCTGTTAGCATTTGCCTTATGTATTGAGGTACTCCTACGTTGGGTGCATAAATATTTACAATTTTTATATCTTCTTCTTGGATTGATCCCTTGACCATTATGTAGTGTCCGTCTTTGCCTCTTGTAATAGTCTTTATTTTAAAGTCTATTTTGTCTGATATGAGAATTGCTCCTCCAGCTTTCTTTTGATTTCTGTTTGCACGGAATATCTTTTTCCATCCCCTCACTTTCAGACTGTATGTGTCCCTAGGTCTGAAGTGGGTCTCTTGTAGACAGCATATATACAGGCCTTGTTTTTGTATCCGTTTAGCCAGTCTATGTCTTTTGGTTGGAGCATTTAATCCATTTACATTTAAGGTAATTATTGATATAAATGTTCCTAATTACCGTTTTCTTAATTGTTTTGGGTTTGTTTTTGTAGGTCTTTTCCTTCTCTTGTGTTTCCTGCCTAGAGAAGTTCCTTTAGCATTTGTTGTAAAGCTGGTTTGGTTGTGCTGAATTCTCTTAACTTTTGCTTGTCTGTAAAGGTTTTAATTTCTCCATCAAATCTGAATGAGATCCTTGCTGGGTAGAGTAATCTTGGTTGTAGGTTTTTCCCTTTCATCACTTTAAATATGTCCTGCCACTCCCTTCTGGCTTGCTGAAACATCATCTGTTAACCTTCTGGAGATTTCCTTGTATGTTTTTTGTTGCTTTTCCCTTGCTGCTTTGAGTGTTTTTTCTTTGTATTTAATTTTTGATAGTTTGGTTAATATGTGTCTCGGTGTGTTTCTCTTTGGGTTTATCCTGTATGGGACTCTCTGTGCTCCCTGGACTTGATTGACTATTTCCTTTCCCTTGTTAGGAAAGTTTTCGACTATAATCTCTTAAAATATTTTCTCAGCCCCTTTCTTTTTCTCTTCTTCTGGGACCCCTATAATTTGAATGTTGGTGCATTTGATGTTGTCCCAGAGGTCTCTGAGACTGTCCTCAATTCTTTTCATTCTTTTTTCTTTATTCTGCTCCCTGGCAGTTATTTCCACCATTTTATCTTCCAGCTCACTTATCCATTCTTCTGCCCCAGTTATTCTGCTGTTGATTCCTTCCAGAGTATTTATTTTTAATTTGTTTATTTATTTATTTTTGGCTGCATTGGATCTTCCTTGCTGTGCATGGGCTTTCTCTAGTTGCGGAGAGCCTGGGCTACTCTTCGTTGCAGTGTGTGGGCATCTTATTGCAGTGGCTTCTCTTGTTGCGTAGCATGGGCTCTAGAGCGCAGGCTCAGTAGTTGTAGCATGCAGGCTCAGTAGTTGTGGCACAGGCTCAGTAGTTGTGGCTCGCGGGCTGTAGAACGCAGGCTCAGTAGTTGTTGCGCACGGGCTCAGTTGCTCTGCAGCATGTGGGATCTTCCCGGACCAGGGCCCGAACCCATGTCCCCTGCATTGGCAGGCGAATTCTTAACCACTGTGCCACCAGGGAAGCCCTAGAATATTTTTACTTTCAGTAATTGTGTTGTTCCTCACTGTTTGTTTGCTGTTTAGTTCTTCTAGATCCTTGTTAAATGTTTCTTGTATTTTCTCCATTCCGTTTCTGAGATTTTGGATCATCTATACTATCATTACTCTGAATTGTTCTTCAGGCAGATTGCCTATTTCGTCTTCATTTATTTGGTCTTGTAGGTTTTTAACTCGCTCCCTGTCTGTAACATACTTTTTTGTCATTTCAGTTTTTTGTTTTTGTTGTTGGGTAGTGCTGTATTCTTGTCTTACTGGTTGTTTGGCCTGAGATGTCCAGCACTGGAGTTTGCACTCAGTTGGACAGAGCTGGGTCTTGGTGCTGAGATGAGGACCTCTGGGAGGCCTCACTCCAATTCATATTTCCTGGGGTCTGAGGTTCTTTGTTAGTCCAGCAGTTTGGACTCAGAGCTCCCACCACAGGAGCTTGGGTCCAACCACTAGCCTGGGAACCAAGATCCTGCAAGCTTCGCGGCATGGAAAAAAAAAAGTAAGAAAGAAAAAAAGGAGCAGTACAATATCAAAGAATAAAAAACAAAATAACATTAGACACATAAAATATATATTAGGAAAAATAAAACTATAATTGAAACAAGTACAACAAGGTAAAATAAAACCACAACAGAAGAAAGAAAATAAAAAGGGTGGGGGAGACAAGCCAGAAGGAGAGAACAATAACAAAGTATAAAGAATAGAAGAAAATTAGGAAAATAAAAGATTTATTAGGAAAAATAAAAATATAAAAGAATCAACAGCAATGAATCAACAAGGTAAAACAGAACCCCAATCTAAAAGAGGAAAAAAGGAAAAAAGGAAAATAAAAAGCCTTGGCTATGGGGGCAGAGTTTAGGCAGGGTGGAATTTAGGCAGGGGTGGGGTTTAGGGTGGGGTGGGACCTAGGCAGGTGGGAGGTGACGTTTGAGCATGGGGCGGGGCCTAGGCTCAGGACCCATGCAGCCAGAAAAGGCCTTGGGGGTGGGGCCTAGGCGGGGCAACGGTCAAGCGTGGGGCGGGGCCTCTGCTTAGGACCTGCTCGGAAGGGGAGAGGCAGCACGTAGAAAGGAGGGCCTCTGGAGTGTGGAGTTCCGGAGTTTGAAGGTAGGGCCCTGGGTGAGGGTGTGTGGGTGGGGTTTAGGCCCAGAGCGTTGGAGAGGGTCTCCGAGTGTAGAGGTGGGACCCTGTGTGGGGGTGTAGGGGCAGGGCTTGGGCTCTGCACAGCAGGAGGGAGGCTCCGAGGGCAGAGGATTACGTCCGGGAGCCCAACAGGCTTCCCGGTGCCTAAGTGGACAGGGAAAGTGCTGGCCCTGTTCCCTTCTGTTCCTTCATGCCCCTCCCCCACCATCTCCCTCAGGGTCTCTCCCGTCGCCGCTGGACCCCTAACTGTGGGTGGGTCCCGCTGGGTGTAGGAACTCCTCCCCTCCCCCAGCCACCCCTCAGGGATGCTGGTCCCGGATGTCTGGCCTTTACTTTTGCTCCCCCTTCCCTCCCTTCCACTCCCTCAGGACCCGCGTGGCTGGAGGGGGCCTAGGTGGGCAGAGGATCAGGCCTGGGATCTCAGCAGGTTCCTGAGGGCCTAAGTGGGCAGGGGAAACCTGGCCACGCTCCCTTTGGATCCTCTGCCCTCCCAGTGTTCCCCAGTTTTCCCCTTTGGGCGTGGGATCCCTTCCCCTCCCCCAGCCACCCCTCGGGCGCCGCTCCCGTCCCGCCTCCATTTCTCCTCCCCCTGCACTCCCCCCACGACCCACATCCTACCCGGTCGCTGGGGGTACCTCCCGTCCCCTTAGGTGTCCATGGTCCCCCTCCGGTGCCTGGTAGGTGCCCTAGTTGTGAGGAGACGTGAATTCCGAATCCTCCTAATACGCCATCTTGACTCCGCCCCTCATCATGTATTCTTATAATTTTTGTTTAAGTCAAAACCCTATGATCGGGAGGGAGACGCAAGAGGAAAGAGGTATGGGGATATATGTAGATGTATAACTGATTCACTTTGTTATAAAGCAGAAACTAACACACCATTGTAAAGCAGTTATACTCCAATAAAGATGTTAAAAAAAAAAAAGACTCGCCCCCAAAAGAACAAAAAAACCCCCTATGATCCTGGGAAGAGTTCAGAATGTAATGTGATGTCAGCAATCTTTATATTGCTGACAATAAAAGCAATCTTTATATATACAAGCAATCTATAGTGTAGGTTCCCACCTTTTTTTTTTTTTTAAACAAGTGCATATATGTAAGTATATGTGTTTTTAATCATTTAAAAAATGTTTGGAAAGAGAAAATGTTAACAGTCATTATCTCTGAGTAGTGGAATGTTCTTTTGACTCATCTGTATTTTCTAGTGTTTTCTTAAATGAACATGTATTACATCATACTAAACAAAAATTATTAATAAAAATGTATTTAGTTTTTCTCTCTGTAAAATGGTGATTAAGACATCGGGTAGAAGCGTGGTGAGCCATTAATAAGTATAGAAGCTGACAGACTACAGTCAATTGATGTTTGCAAATTCTTTAAAATTAGCAAGGTCATTGGAAATAGCCACGGCAACCTCTTTCAAGGAAGTCCAGTCTTCTAACTGATCTGAATCTGGGACAGGGAAGGAAGCATAATAAAAAAAAGTTTTCTCCTCTACCTTCCCAGATTTGAAATCAAAAAGAAAGAACTCTAACTGCAATGAGAATTTTTAATCTGAGGTCCTTGGATGAGCTCCTGGAATTGTATGCTAATTTGTGCATATTGCACATTTTTCAGGAGAGAATTTTTGGTTTTAAAAGAAGTTAGGGACTCAGATTAAAACCAGCGTGTTTTTCCACTTTCAGAGGATTGTGAGACAAGGAGCTTGCCTTCATTACTAAGACCACTTAAGTCAGATGGCCTTACAACTGACCACGTTAAAAATGAGTGAGAAACCTATGGAGATGACACTACATGAATGCAGAGGCACCTGGTAGTATAATCTGTGACTGATGAAGAAATTATCAGAAATACAATACATCCAAGTAGATGACGTCTTCTTATACTAAATTTCCTCGGTGATATTGATCAACATATTTTTGGAATTCCCTTTAGAGCACATGACATATTCTTTTGAGTTGCCTTAGTGATGGCAAATCTTGCCTGTTGGGGTTGAATTGGGGTTTTACCAATTGTCAAATGTGACCTAAAATGAATACTGGTAAATAAAGAAGTAATCAAGTTGGGCAAATAATCATCTTTGGCTAAAAATGAGTAAAAGTAAATTACAAGACATTTTCTTAGTTGATCTAGTTATTTGACTTTTAAGTACTTCCAAAATGTTTTGAAAGACAATATTTGGATATACTTAACCTATGTGGGGCTTCTTTCTCTACAGGCAAACCCCATGTATTCTAGTTTTCATTTGATATACTCTTTAATATAAGCTTACTATTTGTATTGAGTCTCCTTGGACTTATGATACCTGTTTGCCTTTATTCTTTTTACCTAGAGTTAATTTTTTCTTTCTTCTATGAAATGGCCAGATATATTGATGCAGCCAATGCTTTGGAGCAAGAAACTAAACTGGGGTTACGACGTTTTGAAGTTTGTGACAACGTTGATCTTGAAACTATTTTGATGGAATATGAGAGCTATTATTTTGTAAAATTTCAGAAATACCCCAAAATTGTCAAAAAGGCATCAGACACAGGTATCTTTACGTTTCGTGTTTCTTCCTCATTTTATTTCCAGATAGATGATGTCCCCCACCCTACACTGAAGGAATAGACCAGAAGGATTGTGTAGCCTCTCTTAGTTCCAGTGCAGACAATTTAAACATGACATCTGGACATTGACGTCCCTTTTGTCACTTTGGCATTTGTTTGAGGACTGTATGATTTAGGGCAGTGAAAGCAAAACCCCAGTGTGTCACAGGTACTTTTTAGAAGATCAGCATTACTTTCATTTCTTTAGAGATGAAAAGAGCTGTTGGAAGACAATAAGTGACAGAAGACTTTTTTCTTGTTGGGAAGACCTATTATCCATCTTGAAAATAACATGAAAATGAGTATTGGTGAGGCTAATAGCTCATGTATAGATAATGAAATGCTTTTGGAAGCCATCAATCCAGATAATGATCAATATAATGCAAAGACCCAGTATAGGTTAACAGTCAAGGAGGCTGGCTGGAGGAAAGATCTAAAGTTAGGGCCCTGTGTTTTGTAGTGACATTGACTTAGAAGTCTGTAAGTGGGGGGAAGTAATTATAAACCAAGGGAGATCATTGTCCTGTTTACAAGGCACTTGTTAAGCCACAGACTTTAACATTTCATGTGGGGACCAGGAAACCAAGAGGAATATCAATTAAAAATAGCCAGCACTGAATCTCAGAGCTGGAGGTGTTCTGAGAGGGTGGTGTTTTATCTGAGCTCCCTTCCAATGCAGGGTTCAAAGCTCCACATCCTTGGCTGGTTGTTGGATCTGGGTTTTGGCAGAAAATGCACTGACTCCTAACCACTGGGCCACCAGGACTGTTATTGACATGATACCTAGAATGCTAGTTCTAGCTTGGAACCACACTCTCCTGGGATATTGGACACAATGTCTGTTTTTTTAAGGTAAACAGGCAGAATAGACTGGTAAGTGTTCCCTGCCAGGCTCATGCAATCATCCTGGTGTCCCAGGGACCACAGCAAAATGGTGTCAAGTTCATGAAAACTTAATAAAATGGTAACTATAAAGCTAGCCCACATTGGAGGTGCCACTGAGTCTGTGTTCTCCAACATGTTTAATATCTGAGGTCTTCGGGGTCCTTGTGTGGAAATGCTTGGGAAGCATGGGCTTCTTTCTCTTTGCCGGTAGGTAATTCCACTCCTCTCTGGATGAGAATAGCTTAGAGTTTATGGATGTAGCACAAATTTTAAGAACAATGTAAAAGGAAAAACATACCTGAAAAATCGCTTTCTCTTAAAAATTAAATCTTTCCTTTTCCTCCCAATATTTGTTTTGCCACAGCAGAGAATAATTTACCACAAAGAAGTGGAGGGAAGACCAGAAGGTAAAGTAAATGGTAATTCATCTTGACCAACTCAACTCTAGGAGTTTGTGGGATCTGTTTCCAGAGGATTCTCTAGTGCAGCTCCATGTCTGCCTACCAGCAATACCAGACTGGTCCTGTGACCTTGGTGGACCCAGCCACGGGTTCCCCTCATGTTACAGATGTTCAGGACATGGACCAACGTCTGTTGGTTCTCTGGTTTTACCACAAAGAATTGCGTCCACTGATGCTCTGTCTTTCTAGGCTGGGTGGTATGAAAAGTATGGACCTCAGAGATTAAAAGACCCATGTTCAGCTCCCAGCTCTGCCACTTACAAGCTTGGAGCAGGAGCCTGACACATAGTGAGTTCCTGCCACATAGTAAGCACCCAAGAAATATAATTTTCCCTTTTCATATCGTACCTGTCATTTCTTTGTGCACTCCAGACCACATGTCCTGACTGTCTGAAGGGAATCAGATCTACCTTTTCCTCTCCTTTTCTCATGCTCACCTTATATTTTTTTCTCCAGCTTCTCAAATCCAAGTCTCATCTGGCACTTGGGGTATCTGATTAGAGCCCCTCTGTCTCTTGACCGTCCTGGGTTGACGCAGGCCCCCAGTCTTGCCTCAGTGTCCATCCCATTCCTCTCTTCACTCCAGACCACATCCCTGTTGTCGGAGCCTGTTCAGAAATGCCCCGGACGGCACAGCTTTGGGGCATCAAGGCCTGTGGTATTACAATAAAGCCCAGACCTCAGGGGAAGGTGGAAGTGGGCTTCCGGCAGGGGCCACACAACCACTCAGGCAGTGAACAACATTTTTTAAAATCTTAGAATGCAATTGAAAGGAGTAAACTTAGATTGTGATCATAATAAGCAACTCATTAGGCCATCAAGAAGTGTTGTGAATTCCGCGAATCCCACTAGGCTCTCTGCTCTGTGACTCCAGTCCCTTGTCTGCAGCCTAAGAAGGAAGGGACTGAGACACCTCACCTTTTATGAGCGAAGGTGTTTGACATCGCTTATAGAAGAGCCGTGGAGCCTGAGCCTGCTTCCTGATGATACTCACGGTGATACTCAGCCTGAGGCTACCTTTGCTTTGTGCGATTCTTTAGGAACAGGTTTACTGTTTTGACCAAAGTGTCCTTCTTTTATTTATGGTTTCCATAAAGCTAGTCAGACTCTGGTAATAAATGATAACTACTTGGGAACAGAAATAGTGAGCAGCATTTTAAGAGGCAGCTTTGGAGCGCATTTGGATTCTGATTGCTTTTCAGCCACACATTCATGTCTGGAACTTCCTCAGCATTCCTTACCTGGCAGAACGTTCTGTGAGTGAATGTCCCTGGAGCCCTTTGCCTCCCTTTAGGGCTGGAGCATGGTGGCATCGGACAGCTGGGGGCTTCTTCAGCCCCTCTCTGGGTAGCTGTTTGTACATGGCAACCATCGAGGTTGGATGGCAAATGGTTGGCGTCAGGAAGGATAACTAGAAAAGTGATGCATGGTGTTTGTGTATAATTTTCTACTTAAAATAGTTATTGAAATGAGAGGTTGTGTCATGAGACTGGTTATTAACAAATGAAAGTGCTTTTTCCTAATTCCTGCATCTCACACCAGAGAGCAAGCTCCGACTTTACAGATTTGCAGATGACCCAAAGGAGGAAAGGTTACCTTGTGTGATGAATGACAGAATTAGGATGCCAAAAGATCTTGACAAATTAGGAGACGGGTCCAAAATAGCAAGATGAACTGTAATGAAATAATGTTTAAGGTCTAATCAAAGATTCACAACAAATAGCTCCATTATTACAAAATCTGAGACCTAGAAATCTGAGTGACAGAAGATGCAGTGTGAGTCAACAGTATAATGTGATTGCTAATGTGGTCTCGGGCCTCATCAATAGAAACACAGCGTCCAAAATGTAGGAAGTGACTCTATTCCAGTCAGATAACAGTGAACAAAGGGAAGATGACCAGGATGAGGACGACTCTGGGAGCCAGGTAACCTTAGGAGTGCTTGGAGCAACTGGAGGTGTTTAGCTTGAAGAACAGAAGACTTGGGGTGGGGGTGGGCGCCTAGAACAACACGGTGGCAGTCTTCACTTTCTAAAGAGGGATTGGACCTTCTTTGCAGAATTCCATAGGGCACACCAAGGACTGGTGACTAAAGTTAAAGCAGGGTGAATTTGGTTTCATATTCAGAAGAATTTTACAATCCTTAGAGCTGACTGGAAATGAATTGCATTGCTTGTACATTAGTGCACTTGTCTTTGGTCATGTCAAAGCAAATCTGTGAATCAGTTACCTCCAATGGGAAATCAAAGTGGGAAAATGACTCCCGGTTCTTCGCCAGCCTCACAAGGATGTTTAGGCACGTTTTATATATATATCACGTATATGTGTGTGTGTGTGTGTGTGTGTGTGTGTGTGTATGTCTCCTTCATTTAAATCAATGCTACTCATAGGGTTTGTACTTGTACAATGCTTGGCACTCATTTCATAGATAGTTGATTTTTGTGCCAGCAAAATGCCTAAGGGACAGACATTCTTGTTCCTTGGTTACAGATGAAAGACAAATGCCCTGAGAAACCGCCAATTGTCCACGTCTTATGACACTCACCCCAGAGGGCCCAACACTGGGATCACCACGTGTGGACACTGGTGTGGTATTGGCGTGGGTGGTCTTGCTGGCCAAATACATATGCGTTTATATTAGACACCAGCAACTTTTTCTTTCCTACAAAAAAAGTGGGGTTGAAATAGCAGCTCTGTGAGACCACTTAGAACATGGGGAGAAATACTTCTAGCGAACGTCCTGTAAACGCTCCTCACGTGAGGGACGAGAACCAAACAACTTCCCATGGGGGAGCTCATGTTCTGCCCTGCGAGCACACCCTGCCTCTCTCTGGATTTCGTCGCCTACCTGAAAATATTCCGTGTCTACTTATGCGGACATACTGACAGGTTTATTTTACCTTTGAATTGATGTATGACATAAACACAGTCAAATGCATGCATACTCTTTGAACCACCACAAGTCCCACCCCCGGGCGGGCCCCCTTGCATTCAAGGCTCCCCGTCTCCACCGGAGTTAGCTACCACTAGGACTTCCAGCCCCATCAGTTCATTTTGCCTCAAGTGAACAATATTTGGTGAAAATTTGTTCTGCAAATGTGAATGATATGTGACAGCAGAGATGAGGGAACTTTGCCTCCTTTCCCCAAGCCACTTTTGATGCTGGCAGTGCGCGGCTTGAAAGGCAGTAGGCAGGGTGCACCCAGCACGATGGATTGAGACGATGGACAGATGCCCAGGACTTCCTAACGTTTCTTAATTTCAGCAGGAGGACCCCTTCCTGCCCCGCACCCTTCCCCTGGTCTGAGTGCTGTTGTTTAAGGAAGGTGGGAAGAAACGTCGGAAGAATGCTTGTAGAGCAGTGTGTTCTTAGGGATAGAAAGCTATCTGTAGAAGCCATGTGGTGTGAAGGGGAAATGAAGAGAGGGTGTCGGGGACCTCCAGGAGGAAGTGGACCCTCTAGCCCAGTCTTGGAGGAACCTGGATAGACTAAAGAGGGACAGGGCTGGGCTGGGCAGAGTGGGAGGACGGTGCAGACAGACTTGCATCTGCAGATCTTTCCAGAACTGCACTATGCCGGGTGTTTAGCTGCCTCGAATTCAGTTAAAAGGACTTCCACCACGGTCTTTGTTCCCTCCTCTAGAGCGACGAGCGACAGTTGTCAAAATCTTCCCAAGATCAGCCAGCAGAGGCCACGGTCCAAAACCACGGTGGGGAAGCCAGGGGGCGCCAAGCCCCTCCACAGGGAGCATCCTAAACAGGTCGGGCCGGCTTTACTTGACGTTGGTAAAATTGCAGGTGGCTGAGAAACAGCCCCAAGAAAAAAGTCACATTTATTTGTTTATTGAGCACAATTTGATTTTGTTAAATTGTAGATTTTCTTCCAGCACACTGGGTTAAAAGGACGGGCAGATCCCCGGGCTTCCTAACGTTTCTTCACTTGGAAGGAGGACTTCTTCCTCCCCACAAGCTTTCCGTTGGTCTGAGTGCTGGGTGACAGGCCTTGAGGGGTGAGTCCTAGGCCCAGTCAGAGCAGGAGGGCCTGGTCCTCACGAAGCACAATCCTCCCGCTTGAGGAAACCGTAGGTGCCAGCTCTACCTGTCCTGAAGCGTGTCCCTGGGGTCCGAAGTGTAGGCCAGTGTAGTCTTGGGTGTGGCTGGGCCTCACAGTCTCCTGCTGGGTTTCTCCAAGGCGCACATGGTGGGTCACCACCCCAGACCTCCACACTGGACTTTCTGGGGAAAGAGATGGGTAGCAAGAGGAGAGAGCCCAGCAGGCGGGTGAAATCCTTGCCAAGAACCTTCTGGTTTAGGACAAAACATACCAGGTTTCAAAGGAAAGAGAACTAATGGAAATGGTGAAGAGGAATGAAAGAATGCATGTCAAAGCGGTCTGGCGGGTTAGAGAGGCATCATCACAGAACTCAGTTGGTCGAAAGGTATCTCTCACCTGCAAGGAGGTTGTGTGGTCCTGGCCATCGCAAACTGGCTCAGGGGGAGGGGAGGTGAAGGGGGGCAGGATGAATCCCACAGGAGGCTGGCTAACTGTCGACTATGTTGCATCTCCAAACTCTGCCGCCCCTGCCCACAAATACCTCTGGTCCGAGGAGCAAAGACAGGCCAGTGAGTGGGCATGGGTGGAGGCTCAGCCATTTCCTCCACTGCTTGTGCTCTCAGAGCCCATGGCTTCCTGGGACAGCTCCTCCTTCCTGGCACAGGCAGAGTTTATTCATCTTGTTGGGTGTGCACAGAAGAGGTTGAATCACACGTGGGAGTCCCCGTTTGTAGAATGGTGTGGGACGATGGGACGGGCAGCTGCAGCCAGCATCTCGAAGTTGCTTTCCACAGCTGACTTTTCACTGTCTTCCTCTTTCTCCAGGAGCTTGTCAATCACACTCATAAGGAGAGTGCTGACTTTGGCTTAAGTATATCTGGAATCAACAAAGGCAGTGGAGAAGAAAACATCCGCCCACCAAAAGTAAGTGGGACTCATGAACTGAACGCTAAATGGGGGAATTCCCTTTTCTTTTTGAAAATGAAAAATTTTAAGTGTTATATTTGTCAAAGAGGAAAGGTAATATGTGATGATCAAAGGTTGGCTGTGGGGTGAATTGGGAAGGGAGTGGCTGAGGATGAGACCCTGAGGTGCTGGTCTGGATCTCCCTCCTGGGTGGATGGACTTGAATGAACGGCCCCATCTCCAAGGGGCTCCGTTTCCCATTTGTAAATTGCTGGGTTTGGAAGAGATGGCTTCTAATGTTCCTTTCAGCTTAAAAATTCTGTGATGACAGTAACAAAGTGCTCTGCATTACCTAAAGGAGTTGTGGCCTCGCACTCATTCTTTTCTGCCCTGTCAGTAGGAGTTGACTAGCAGTGTTCCTTTCTCCTTGGAGATATGGCTCCAGGCTTGAATGTAATTTCATGTGAACCAGGAAACCTCAGTTGATATAAGGCTGATCTTGTCCTCAATAGATATTTACCCCTTTCCTAATGAACCTCTTGTCCTGATTCGTAAATAACAGTCTCTCAAACAGAAAAGGCCCATATTGGGTAGTTGTAGGCCAAAGGTAGGTAAAAATGGGTCACTTGGAAATAAAAAGCAGCATCGACACCAACGTGTTTCTCTTGATTATAACTTTTCAGGGTTGAATATCATTGAGTCATCTTTCTTTCTTTGATCGTACGGGACTGCTGACTTACCTCTGGCCAGCTCTTCTCAGGCAAACCAAACTCTGGGTGTGTGTGTCTGGAGGGGAACTGGGAGCATCTCCCTGAAATCAAGGGGAGCCGCTTCATGGGCCAGAACTGGCTCCTGTTAGGGCCTCAATTATATGGGTGATTCCTGGAGGTGACACATTCGAATCACTGCTGCCCATGGAGAAATACTTCCCTGCTCACCGTCACTACCCATGTCACGTTTCTGGTCACTTGTGTGCCCAGCAATGCTCTCATGAACGTCTCATGTTAATGTGGATGGATGTTTCTGATCAGGTCAAGGAAGGGGCTATTTAACCCAGCACTTAACCTTTGAAAGAATCTGGCTATAAATTCTCTTTGCAGCAGAAATGTCCTCAGGGTAAACTGTGGACGGTTTTCTCCCTAGCATTTCATAAGCTGAATGAGGGCATATGGTCAGGGGCCTATCTCCAAAATGGGTTTTTCATCGCCATCTCAGAGCCCCTAGCTTCATGATTCCCAGGCCCCCGTGCAAATTTTGTAGATGTGCTGTTTCCAAAGGCACTAGCTTTGGAGTCAGCCTGCCTAGGTTCAAAGCCCAGGTCAGGCCTTCCTGGCTGTGAATCTTGGGCAAGTTGTTTAATCTCTCCAAGCGTCATTTCTCTCATCTGTGAAATGGAAATAATCATAGTGCCCACTTCCAAGGTCATAATGAATGGAGTGCCTTAGTCTTACACCCAGCACATAATAAACACTCAGTAAATGTTGGCTACTGTTACTGTCTTTTATTTTTTACAGGCATCCTTGCTTTTTCATTCTGCCTCTAGGGGAGACAGAAGGAGTATGGATAGGGGAGACAGATATCTGGGTTTGAAACCTGGTCTTAAGTCACTTGTTAGCTGTGTGGCCCTGGGCAGATCATTTAACTTCTCTGGCCTTACCTCCACATCGGTGAAACTAGGATGCCACTCCCGACTAGCAGAAGTGTTAGAAGGATTGGAAATAATCCTCACAAGTACCTTGCACACCTGTTTTGTGCCAGGCAGTCTCCTGAGTGGTAAATGTACAGTGTAGTCCATAAATAGGAGCTATCAATATTCTTGTGCCAGTGAAGTCTTCCTGCGTGTGGAATGTTTAAAAAGGACAAGACAATACAGGGGAAGTAGACATGTAGGAAGCAGATGGTGTGTCAGGAACTGACAAATGCTTGGGAATTTTATCCAAACCAACTCCATTCTGAAGAATTTCTTTATAACTTGTTTCTTTTTCCTAGAGTGCCCCAACTTGATGAAATCATCTTGTTCATTATTAGTGCAGTTTCTTTTTGAGACTTTAAGTTTGCACTACATACCAAGGCACATAAATGTGTCTTAATTTAATGAAACTGAGCTATTAAGGTTAGTCTCCCCTCATGTTTCAATAGCCGTTTCAATAACTGTTACTCCCTTTCAGGGCCAAATCATTGACTTCCGAGGGCTGCTCACAGATGCCATAAAAGGAGCAACCAGCAAACTTGGCTTGAACAGCTTCAACTGTAACCCAGACCCTTCAGTAAGTGGCTAAGATGGGACATTCATCTTACAAACTGCCAAAATCCAGATGAACTTTGAGAATATAATTTTGAGTCCAGAGAAACCTTGAGATCAAGTTAAAGTTCATAGCAACCTGCCACCATTTGTGTCCTGGAGATCCGTGCTCTGATTTTCTTCCCAAGTGATGAAGTAATATTGTAACGTTAGGCTTTCTATTCCCATCGTCAGGAACGATTGTTGAAACCTCTGAGTGCATTTATTGGCATGAACAGTGAGATGCGAGAATTGGCAGCCGTGGTGAGCCGGGTAAGATCTGATATTCAGTTCACAAATTTACGGAGGCGGATTGGGGCTCCTGGAGCATTGTGGGCTGCTTCTTTTATTAATAACAATAAATATAATCATTTATTTATAAAGTGCCCCCACTTGCAAAGGCACTCATATTGTTTAGAGGCACAATAATGCATGATGAATAAATTATAGAATCGTAAAATTACAATATAAAAAGCCCACCATCTCACTATAGAGGCCAGGAAAACCCAAAGAGAAAAAGACTTAGAGTGGAAGGGACAGGTGAAAGGGTTTAGAGCCGAGCTAAGACTTAAGGAAAGAAAGCCTCTCAGAGAAGGAAAGAGCACGTCTGCGTCTTGTTTAAACAGTCGAAGCCTAGAAATAGAGATGTTGGGAGTCTGATTTCCTAATTGGAAATTTTCATGAAGAAACAGATCAGTAGGAAGGATCTTACCATCCAAACTACTGATTTTTCAAGATTGGCCCCCAGGACCTAAAGACAGTGAAGTCTAATGGTTAACGACACAGGCTGTGGAATAGGTTGACCTGGATTTGATTCCTAGATCCTCCTCTTTCTAGCTGTGTGACTTTGGGCAAGTTCCTTGGGAATAGAATAGATTCCTGAGTTATAGGAGGTTTTTCTAATTTCCAGTGATCTCGTATTTAATGAAAGACTGGAACCTAGACAGGCTCAGAGAGATGTTTAAAATGATGCAAGAACTTTACAGCTGCTCTGAGGTCATTAAGGTCCCCCAGGTCTCCTTTCAGCCCAGCATTTGTCCCCTGCACGCCTCTGATGTGTCAGGCATGTGCTGGTGGCTGGAAACACAAAGGTGAACGACTCAACACAGTCCTTGCCCATAAGGGTTTCTCGTCCCACGGGCAAGGTGCACTTTGGGAGCATAACGGATGGGTATTGTTGCGCCAAGGAGTGGGGAAAGTGTTAGGGAAGAAGATACGCAGGAAACAGCCACGTGAAAAAAGAGTAGAAGAGGGTGGGGGGAGGCGTTCTGGGCAGAGGTGCAGACCTGTGAAATTGTAGCGCTTGTGCAGTGCTTCTCAGGAGCCACCTGGGACGCAAGGAATGGTGGGAGATGGGCTGGAGAGAGAGGCCAGGGTTCCTGCATGTAAGGGTGCTGCGAACAGGACCCAGGGCTGGAGTCAGTCTGTGGGAGACTGGGAATCTTTGAAAGTCATCCATCAGGAGAATGGGGCAATCAAATGTACTTTTAGACAGTTTGTTCTAATGACAGTGTGGAAGGCTATCAAAGACATGGAGATAGGAAGACCAGCTCTGAAGTTATTGCCAGTGAGAGGATGAGGGATTGAGCCAGGCTGTGGTAATTAGGATGCATAAGAGAGCAGAGAAAAATATTTTTATACCCCCAAATCAATAGTCTTGTTAGTGTTTTTGCAAAAGGATACCAGGACTAGTGATAATAAAGTTGTAGAGTAGAAGTGGCCTGAAAGGATTCCATTTGGAACCCTTCCCACAGTACAGTGGGAGGCAGTCGTGTAGACCCTGCTTGAATGCTGACAGGGATGGGAGCTCACCACCTCCTGAGGCAGTCCTGCTGAGTCTTGAGAACTTTTGATTGATATAAGGAGGGACTTCCTACTGGGAACCTAAACCGTACCACATGGAATTCAATGTCAACTCTAGAAGAAGGCAAGGAATACTGCTATTATCTATGGATGCCTTGAACTCCAGGGTAGTTGAATCCCCACTGTGTGCCAAGCTTTTCCTAAGAAAGTGTGGTAATAAGAATGAGTGCGTGGTCCTTTAAAGACAGGGTGGTCCTCCCAAGATTTTGGAAGACTGAGACCTTTGTCAGCTCACCCAGGAATGGATCATACATATTATACACCATGAAAATCACCTGCATAAATAGTTTCTCTAATAAAATTTGTCACTTCTGGTGAAGGGAACTGGGAGGATGGGGGACAGAAGTGGAGGTATAACATCTCACCAGAATTTAAAAAATATGTTTGTATATTTTTGAACCATGTACATGTATTACTTATTTAAAAATTAAATAAATATAAAAGTAGTTTCCAGATTGTTCTGTAGTCACTCAGAATGACTTTGGAAAAGAGGTGGGTTTTTTGTTTTGTTTTGTTTTGTTTTGTTTTTGGCTGTAACACTCTAGACATTCAGCTTGCCCAAAACAGCTCCTACTGAGAAAGGCCCCCGAGTGACTGTTCTGAGCATCTAGCGAAATTGAAGTTTGGAAACTGTAAATTAGTATCAGTAAAAGCTACCTTAATTGATTGCTACAGGGCTCTGCTATGTGACGGGAAGACTTTCGCTTGGTTGTTGGCTTCCTTGGATTTTGTAGAAGCAATTGCTCCTGATGGAAGTAGGGAGCAATCACTGGGGAAAAAGAGAAATTGGTTTCAGAGGAGCATTATCTCTTTTAGGCAGCAAATTAAGAAAGTGTTTTTGAGATCAAGGAACAAGAGAGAGGGCAGGCAACGGCTAGGAACTATGTTTCAGAGTAAAAGCTAATGTAATTTGTAGGCATATTCTGTAGCTTCTTTGATTACGGTTGTAAATCAGCATGGTTTGCTATTGGCCGAAGACAGGTATAGTCCCTCATTAGAAGATTTTTTTTTTTACCCTAAAAGTACCATATTATATCAGCAATGTCTTCTTCAGGGAATATCACTGAATATTTTCATGACATCCCTTTGGTGAACTAGCCTCAGATTACAATGTGTATATATACACATGTATCTAATATGAAAAGTGTTTATCACAAGCACTTTATGTCCTATTGTAAGTCAGGTATTCTGCTGCTCCAATGTTTATTACAGCTGTGGAGGAGAACATTAGTTTTAACAAAATGATCAAATGTGCATTGCAGGACATTTATCTCCATAATCCAAACATAAAGTGGAATGACATTATTGGACTCGATGCAGCCAAGCAGTTAGTCAAAGAAGCTGTTGTGTATCCTATAAGGGTAAGGACGGGAAGGAAGCCTCTTGGGAGAGATTTCTGTTCATTATCCATTGGACAAGCTATATGTCATATACCCATCAGGAAGAGAATGACAGGGTGCTTTTCTGTCCACAAATTAACTTTTTGCCTGTGTCACAATATTTTGTCAACACTGGAGCACCAAGGCTCAGTCCATTCTAGGCAATTTGAAATCATGTTACATATTGGTTGAAGGCAGGTGTCTGCTCTAAGAGGTAATTTAAGATCTAAGACTCTATAGTATATATGATTTGTCAGTTACTATAGGTTCAAATCAGCCTGCCTCCCTAAAAATATTTAGAGTAGAAATACCTGCCATAAGAGAGAGCATCTGACTTTGTTTGCATAGATCTTCCCCCTGCCCCCAACACCCCCATCACTGGGGGCTTTGCTTTCAGCTGGTTGTAAAGACTAGACAGCCCCTTCCAGGGCGCTGGCCAATAGAGCCATAGGGCTGTGCTCAGCTTATTCCTGACAAATTTTTGTGCAGAGTGGCTCACTAAATAGGAAGAAAAATAGAAAAACAAGACTCTTCATGTTTGGTTTACAGCAGTGGTGATGAGAAGGTCAGTGTACCACATGGCTTTTGCTGTATAACAGACCACCCCAACACTTAGTGCCTTAGAATGACAATCATTTATTTGTTTGCAATTCTGTGGGTGGGCTCTTTGGGCTGGGCTTAGCTGGGCCAGCTTGGCTCTTTTCCACGTGATGTTGGTTGGGCTCACTCACACGTCTGGGGCATCAGCCAGGGTGGCTGGAAAAGCTGGAAAAGCTGTGAAAGCTGGGATCACCAGGGCAGCTGAGGCCTCTCTCTGCCTCTCGTCCTCTGGCAGGAGAGCCCAAGTCTTGCTCACATGGTGCAGAGAGTTCCCAGATAGAAGCAAGAAAGGGCAGGACCCAATCCGTGAGCCTTTCCCATGTCTCTTCTTATATTCCGTATATTTGCTCGTCTCTATTTTCAAGTCTCTTCTTCTATTTGCTAATGTCCCACTGGCCAAATTCACAAGGCAAAATCCAGATTCAAGCGATAGACAGATATCCTCTGCCTCTTGGTGGAAGGAGCTGCAAATAATTTGTGGCCATTTTTTGTAATCTCCTGCAGTTAGGATTACAGATTTACTTTATTGAATAACCTATTTATTCTTACCACTGGGCCCTTGCAGCCCCTGATTTTTGGATACTTCTCTTTGAAATCAGTAAATTTGGACTGTCTTCCCTTTCTTCCTTCCTGTGTTCAGACATGGGGGTAAGAAATATACTGGTGTTCAGAATTAGTAGAAATGTATTTATTCCCTATTTCCTCTGAGTGGCTCTATTGTACAAGACTTCTTGTACGAAAGAATAGAACTGCCCAATCAGACTCTCTGGTTGTGTTATCTCCATGGTATTAGAAGTTCCACATGATGTCAACATTTTGACATTAGCATCAGCAAGAAACTAATCGCTAGTTATAATTTTACTATTATTTTTCCTTCTCCTTGGTCCTCTATCAACTCCAGATGGCTTGAGTTTGAACTAATGGGAGAGGCTCACTGAAAGTCCACGCATGTCCAGTTTGAAGTCAGTGTCTCATAATGTATTCTGCACTGAATGTCCGCAACTTCCAAATCAGGCTTCACCATAGCTTTGAGCTTTATTCACATACACTTTTGTATGTTGGTTCTAGTATGTATGTATCTTAAAGAGCATACCTGCTTCACAACATTCAAAAGATTGCCAGATGCTCTGCATATATGTCGAACT